ATTGCCCATACGTTGATTTTAAATGCATGAATTGCATGGATAATTTGCTTAGGCCTTAAGACTTGGTTTAGTCTTGTTTATTGATTATGATAGAGACCCTATCTAGTATGATATGTGGTAGATCATAGGTCGGGTGGAGTACCCAAGGATCGGGCGGTATCCTCAAAACTCGGTTATGTCGGGTGGAGTACCCAAGGATCGGGCGGTATCCTCACAACTCGGTTATGTCGGGTGGAGTACCCAAGGATCGGGCGGTATCCTCAAAACTCGGTTATGTCGGGTGGAGTACCCAAGGATCAGGCGGTATCCCCAAAACTCAGTTATATAGGGTGGAGTACCCCAGGGATCGGGAGGTATCCTCAAAACTCATAGATTACTGTTTAGTAATTCAGGACCGGGCGGTGACCTTATGATTATTTGATTTGGACAGGAGGAGTCCTATACACCCATAGGTCTATGGGTGGGTTGGGGTTTTAAGTCAAGGATATTGACTACTATTACTTTTTCCCAAATAAACAATGACCTACGGGTCGGGTATTTCCAAGTGTATATAAGTACCGATATGTATATTGTAACTTGGGGTAAAGATGTATAAGTATATGTATCACCCTATGTTTGGGTCTTATACTTGAAACGTTAGTTACTCTACATTTAGCTTGCTACTCGCTCGGTACTTGTACTGACCCCTTCGGGGGGCACCATTTCAGGTTGAAGTTAGAGCTTGTTATCCACACATTTGCACGGGTGAAAGGGATCTAGAGGAAGACGTGGTTCGTGCTTCCTTTACTATTTTTAAATCATAAACTATGCTCATGGATACTTTTGTAATATTACTTAGTTTTGGCCTGCGAGCCTACATTTTGCCATATGTGGCTTGTGATTGACCGATGAATATTTTCCGTTATTCATTCGATCTATGATGTGATGTTGTTATGTATGTTTACTTACTGAGTATGGTATGAACGATGTTCATGAACGCCTTATGTGATTAAGTGATGTTGACTTGCGAGTGGCGTCACTTGATCACACGGCGGATGTACACGTGCTTGGATGTGGTCTGGGGCATGCCAATTCAAGCCCCATACGTAGAGTCCTTGCCCTTGGCGTTTGTTGAAATGTCGGAAGCTGTAGCATACTAGACTTAACCAAATTCAAACCATTTGTAGGATTAGGGCCTTCGGTGTTGAATGATGCCGGAGGCTGCCAGAGTGTGGACTTAGCCAATGTTTGGTAATACTTGTTGAATAGTAGTTGGATTTGAAGGAAACCTCTTGGTTAGTCACCAAAGGCTGTTTCGTCATGGACTGTAAAACTTGCACTCATTGATTGCTCGTTGAGTCTACTCCCCTCCACCCCTTTTTTTGGGTAGTGAAGGGAAGGCTTCAAGAAACTTGGTTTCTTGGTAAGGCTTGGCCTATTGGGAGGCAAACGGTATACACCGTTGGCTCCCCCCTCGGGATTAGCCTTCCAGGTTCTGAGGGGTTCGAGGGTCGTTTCCTTGGCCCGAGACATAGTCTGTTGCCTGCCTCTCCTTAGGGGATGGCACAGAAAGCGCCTCAGTTTTGAAAGTCGTCCCCTCAGCCCGAGACATAGTCTGTTGCCTGCATCTCCTTGAGAGAGATCACGGGAAGCGTTTCGTTTTCGAAAGTCGAATCCTGGGCATATTAGTTGCCTGCAATTCCCTTGGGGCAATGGCTCAGAAAGCGTTTCTGGGAAGGGTTTTATTTGCATATTAGTTGCAAATGGCCGGGGCACTTGGTACCTCCGGCACCGATAGGTGGCGCCTTCGGTATAGTTGCGTCCTCAAGGGGAACGACTTCGTCCTTAGCATAATGTTGAGGGTGTTTATCCAAAACACTAGGTGTTATGATTCATGTACTTGCTACTTGGTACCGAGGGCTCATTTTAATGAAAGAAAACACTTGGTGTTTTTCCTCCTGATGTGTAGTTGATTCGAGGATCCCCCTCGGCACTTGGTGTTGAGGGGTCTTGTTCACAAAATCATCTCGGGATAAGACCTTGGGCCGGTAGCTTGAATGAGGGCTTGGCCGTTCATGTGTGCTGTGTACTTGGTACTTTTGGTGTCTTCAATATGTATTTATTCTTAAAAAATAGGGGGCCTTGGGCCGCTGGATAAGTACATTCGTAAGTTATGAGGGCTTGGCCGCTCATACGTTATTGATAAAATTTGACCAGGTGGTGTACATTCCAATGTCTAGGGATCTCGGTCCCATTGGGGCGTTTGAGCTTGTATGTTCCGGGTTTGATTATGGTTGTGACGATGTAGGGTCCTTCAAACTTTGGGGCCATCTTGTCTCCCTCGGTCGGTTGGCTGGCCTCCCTCCTTCGGAGGACATAATCCCCCACCTGAAATTCCCGGGAACGGACCTTGGCGTCGATGTAACCCTTCACTTGTCTTCAGTAGTTTTCTGCCCTTAGGAAGGCTTGCTCTCGGCGCTCCGAGATTAGGTGGAGGTTGAGGGCCATGTTGGTGTCGTTGACCTCGGGCTCGTATTGGTCTACCCTTCAGGTTGGTAGAGTCACCTCCGTGGGGGCTTTAGCTTCGAACCCATAGCACAGGGAGAAAAAAAAGATTCACCAATGCATACATAAACCAGGGAAGTAAACTAAACATACGATGTCATGCCAGGTACTATTAACCCGAAGCTTCGTTTGTTAGATAAACAGTTTGAGTTGTCCAAAGTGCCATCAACCTTAAGCATAATCAACATGATTACAACAACTGTAGTTACATGTAAAATGAAAGTAAAGGGTAGTGTCATGGACAATGTATAGAGGATATATGAAACACTAAATAAAACAGAAACTCAAGTACATAAGCACAAATTAAATGTATATAATGTGTCATGAAAACAAGATCAATTTATAGTCTTAAAGCTCGCAAGTATTCATTAAAAGGGCACATGCAGATTAGTCGCACAAACAAGACGGTCAAAGAACTATATGAAGTAGAAAACAGAGAAGAAAAACGTAATACGTTGGAAACTAAAAACAGAGAAGAAAAACACTTTGTTCAAGGCCAGAATTAGAATTGAAACTGGAAGATGACAAAATTGATACAAAATATATAAATGAAATTCGTTTATACATGAAAACGTCAAACAATAATTTTTTTTTTAAAAAAACTGAGTAACAAAACTTACCAATGAACCAATGAAAGATTGCAATAAAACAATTAAAATATCCATCAAATAATCTCACGCATGCGAATGAATCATATGATTACTTTAGGGGGAAAGTACGTGATAGGTAACTATGATTTGGGCCATTTACAAATAGGCGCACACGTTTCATTTTTCAACAAGTAGTAGGACATGTGTTTCAATTATGTTATCACAAGAGGAGCATGACGCTTAACACCGTTGAAAATCGCCGGAGGAAGACGATTAACATTAACTCATGTTTTCAAAAGTGCCCAAAATTTAAAAGAAAAATATTAGGAGGAGCGCCTCATCAAGGAGACCTCCAAACATATTTCCTTCTCGTTTCTAGTCACACTTATGGCCAGAAAGTCCACCAGGAAAGTGATATTAGTGAATTCGTTTTTAAAAAACAATCCAAACAGAGCCAAAAAATCCAAAGAGAAAGATGGTTTGAAGGTCTCCTTAACGAGACGCACCTCCCAATATTTTTCTTTTGATTTTTCGGGCACTTTTGAAATTCGGAATTACTGTTCATCGTCTTCCTCTGACGATTTCTAACGGCATTAGGCGCCAAGGCCCTCGTGTGATAACAGAATTGAAGCACACGTTCTACTTTGTTAAAAAATGAAACACATGTCCCAATTTGAAAATCGATCAAACCACAAGTACCTTTTCCGTACTTTTTCCCTTTTTTTAGAGACGAAGAGGCTTGAGATCGGGACGGGTAGAGCATCAGAAGTTGTGGTCTGTAAATAAACACCAATGCTTCCGATGCCACTATAAGTAATATTAACAGTTCCATAAAAGCGATTAATGGAATCAGCAACATTGCCCAATGATCCAATCAGAATTTGAAGACGCTGTCACCGGATGACGGCTTCCCATTAAGATGAACGCAAGAAGAAAAAATGATTGTTGCGGAAGGGATTGGTCGTTGCGAAAGTTATTCGTTTTTAACACGCGACCTAAAGTGGAGAGTTAAAAGGGAAATTAAAAATTAAGTTTCCTAAAATAAAACTAAATAAGACTTACAGATGAAGAAAAACTAGTCCTAATCATTTGTAAAAACTAGTCTTACCAACAACAATTTTCTCTTTATTAAAATATAAGTAAGCACAACTTTATAATTGAATGGTTAAGTCGTTCATACCCACTAAGGGAGTGTTTGCAAGAGAATAAAAAAATGTTTTTAGCTTGTAGCTTCAAAAAAGATGAAACGAGTGTTTTCAAGTGATATCTTCTACTTAAATTAAGCACTGAAAAGCTAAAAGTTGGAAGCAAGTTGATAGATGTTTTAAAGTTCTTTTCACTTTTTCAACTACAAAAAATCACTTATTTTGTCAAACACTACCTACTTTTATTTTTTCAAAAACATTTTTTCCTCAAATACTACTGACTTTTACTATTAAACACTTTCTCTAAAATCACCTTAAAAAATCATTTTTTCAAGTAGAAACAAACACAAAGAATCTCTAAATCAATTAAATCCTAAGTGAGTAGCTAAATAGTCAAATTGAAAAGTGCAAAATACCGAGACATCTAGTGGCCGAGCAACCAAATAAGCCCTCGAACTATTTGCGCTTATGCAATCAGGCCCCTGAACCAAAAAACTTGCAAATACACCTCAACTCATTGAAACTCAAGCAATCAGATCTTTTTTATCTACTGGTGCAGGTAAAGAGATGAGAAATTACCAGATTTTTTTATCTACCGGTGTAGGTAAGGAGATTGCCAGAAATTAGGAAGAAATGTTTTGATTCATGAGCATGATGCAAAATTTTACGGAGTAAAAAGTTCTAAGGCTTATTTGCCTCTTTTCTCAAATATAAATAACAAAAAAAAAATCGAGTTAGGGTTTATTCTCTAGCCACCGCTCACCACTCTCTCTCGCTCTTAGGGTTTGCTTTCTTCTGTATGAACGATTCTCTATTTGGCAGTCCAGCCCTCAATTCCGCTATGGATCTAACGAAGAAGCGGAAGACAGAAGATAATGGAGCCGCCTATCCCATACCTAACGATACCACGGGAGGCACCGAGGTTGCTGGTCCCACTCCGCCGCTTGGCATTCTCAGCCTAGATGACGCCAATAGGATACTCGAGCCCTTCTCGAAAGACCAACTCATCTCTGTCTTGCGAAACGCCGTGCTCCGACATCCGGATATCCTTGAAGCCGTGCGAGCCGTAGCCGATGCGGATACCACGCAGCGTAAGCTCTTTGTTCGTGGGCTAGGATGGGAGACCACCACAGAGAAGCTCCGCCAGGTATTTACTGCTTATGGAGAGCTTGACGAGGCTATCGTGATTACTGATAAGAACACGGGAAAGTCAAAAGGTTATGGATTTGTTACCTTTAAACATATTGATGCCGCTATTATGGCACTGAAGGAGACTAATAAGAAAATTGACGGTCGTATTACGGTCACACAGCTGGCTGCCGCTGGGAATTCAGGCAATTCACAATCTGCAGATGTTGCTCTTAGAAAAATATATGTGGGGAATGTGCCATTTGAAATCACATCAGAGAGGCTTTTGAATTTCTTTTCTACTTTTGGGGAAATTGAGGAAGGCCCATTAGGTTTTGATAAGCAGACTGGTAAGGCAAAAGGGTTTGCATTCTTTGTCTACAAGACTGAGGAGGGGGCTAGAGGATCACTGCTCGAGCCAACAAAGATGATTGACGGGAATCAGGTTGTGTGTAAACTGGCTACCGATAACAAGAAGGGAAAGCAGCCAAATATGGGACCTGCTGGTGGCCCTGGAATTCAAAGTACTGGAGGACCTGGAATGCCCGGGGATGATAGAATGGGTCATGGATCTATGCCTGGACCAAACTATGGAGTGCATGGAACTGGAATGGGCCCATATCCAGGTTATTCCGGAGGGCCTGTTCCAGGAATGCAACAAGCGCAGCCACAGCCTGGAATGATGCATCAAAACCCATTGAATTCAAGTATGGGTGGACCTGCTGGGCCAGGGTATGTGAACCAAGGGCAAGGGCTGTATGGTGGTGCAAGTAGCTATTCAGGCAATGGTGGATACGGTGGTGGTGTTTCAGGGGATTATGGCGGTGGTGTGGCCGGTGCTCCAGGTTCTAATATGTACAGGGCTCCACCAAGCTCTGCTGGGATGCCTAGTTCTGGAGGGTACCCTGATAGTGGTAATTATGGGTATCCCCCACAGATGCCACAACCTGGAACAGGACCTAGGGTCCTTGCCGGTGGCATGTATCAAGGCATGCCTCCCCCATACTACTGAGGTAAACTTTATGCATCTCTTAGTTCAAATGGAATGTGCATGAATTTATTTTTGGCTGTACTCCCTCCGTCCCTTATAACTTTTCCAAGTTTGACCGGCATAGAGACCAATTAAGTAAAAACTTTGTGATTGAGGTTTCTGCAGAGGAGAGACATATAATAGGAACCACACATTAATTGATTAAAACTTAAAAGTGAAAGTGACAAGATTTTTTGACAACCAAAAAAGGAAAGATGGGAAAGTTATAAGGGCCAGAGGCCAGATGGAGTATTGTTTAGTGCAATGCTCTGCAAATCAAATGGCTTACCTAGGTGTTTTGCCTTGGTGAGGCAAGGCATGAGCCTGAAGGTGGTAGGAGAGGTAAGCTAGAACATACGTGAGTGCAGGGGCATAGCTAGGGGAGGGTCAACCCTGGCCCTGGCCCTGGCCCTGGCCCTGGCCCAACCCAAATTTAAAAAATGTCTCTTTTTTAGTGTTAAAGATTCCGTGTAAAAAAAATTCAAAAAAATTCTTTGTATCAGCCCAGTCTGGCCCAGTGTCCCTGCGTGAGTGTATGTTCTAAAAGAAATATAACAAATAGATACTAAACTAGAAATCATAATTATACTAGAACATACTTGAGCGCATCCTATTTAATGCAATTCATTTAAAAAGAATCTAAAGAAAAATAACAAATCGATACTAATCTAGAAATCATAATTTAAACTAGAACATACTTGAGTGCATCCTATTAATGGTTTTCAAGTCTCAAATTTAGCATCTAAAGGATTTAAGTATCAACCTGTCACAAGTCACAACATAGCAAGATTAAGAAATCAAGTCTTAGAGCACAACTGGCTACACTAGAACTAGTATGTCAAGATCGAATCTTGAAGCAGCCACATCCACATGTTCAAGATAGCATAGGGAGAGATACTAGAGGGAAGGTGGCAGGCCAAAAGAAGGGAATATAGAGAGTTAAGAAGTGACCTGCCGCCTGCGTGAAATTTGTGTGCGGATTGGTTGTAATCAATTAATTCAATACTTAATTATAAGACATATTATTTTAGTCTGTGTGTTTTATGGTTTTAGCCTTTTGGTGATAATCATAGCCCATCATTAAAAGCATGAAGTCTATGTTGAAAAATCCCATCACAAAACACTAATTGACCTATGATTGACCTGATCAAGAGGCCACATGAGACTAAGCCTTGAGGCGTTTTCACCAAAAAAACATAAGATGCTGCTCAAGTGATTTTTCACAACACATGTTTCTTGGTTTGTAGTTTGTCAACAAGGTAGTGTTTCTTTACTGGAATTTTGAACATGGAAGAGTTTGTTGTAATGGTTAACAATTTTATGTTGCCTATTGTCCTACTTACTACTCAGAATTTTAATAAATATCTAACAGTCTGCATTTTGAGAGTCTAAATTACTTTACCAGATCTGTTGGAAATGAAAATGTAATTTGGACAAGATTGTATTTGTATCTGGAAGATTTTGAAGTGTGATGTTGTGTCTATGTGTAACAATTTCATATACTGGTTTACATATAGTGTAATTTAATACTGTACATACAACATAAATTGTGTTTTGAATTATAATTTGCTGATTTCCACGGCCTGCAAGACCTTTGGAATGATTCTTACTCTTGATCATTCTACTGGTTCTGCACCCCCTTACTCTGATTTTAGACCATCTATTTACCTCAACTATTTGCCTCATCCAATTTTCCTTGCACGACTTTATGCAGAGACTCTTCGCTAACACAAGGAACATGTGAACTATATCTATATACTTCCTCTGATCTGTAATTGTTGCAACATTGTGATATATGTACTATTCACACACCTTTTTTGTTTCTTGTCTGTCTTCACTTTTTGGCATCGATTTCATGGATTGATTCATGTTAGCTGACCCCAAAATCTTTTGGGATTAAGGCTTGAATGCTGTTGTGTATACATATCAAACTATTAGACATAAAATGTTATTAAATTCATATTAATGTGAATTTCCAAAATATCAACTTTTTATAATGTTTACTAATACATAATTAAATATAGTAATAGTCAAAGTTGTGCGTTGACAAACTTGAAAGTCAAACTGTTGAACTATTAAAGAACGGAGGATGGTATATTTTTATTGAACATGATTTTTTAGTAATGCATATCTTAACATCCTAATATAATTTTTTCTTCCTGCAAAAAATTTGATCCCATCTTCTAGGGTTTTGAATGATCAAAACGTAAATGTGTATGTGTCAGGTGTTTGAGAGCCTCTTGGGAGCACATGCTTTATATGGTTATGGTGATTTCCTGATTGCAGACTCTGAATTCTTACGTGATAAATGGACTGCTCTACAATCTGTTGCTGCTTCACCTTTCTATCTGCTCCTATAAGTTGTGGACTCTGTGGATTCTAGTTAAATGTTTGCTAGCATTAAGTTAGGTGTTACTTTGAAGAGCTTTTGTGTATCTGGTGTTGAACAATTTGTTGGATTTTTCATACCCAGTTTTGTTACTCATAATTAAGTGCTATTTGTACTTGTATGTTTTTCTGTTTATCTTGCCAGTGATTTTCGGTATAATAATTGACTGTCCTGTTCTCCTTTGAGCTTCCCTGTTATTTGCTTGGTGTGGATATTCCTCTTCCATTTAGTTGACAAACTGGTAATTGTTTTTGTTTTGTGTAGTCACTTGCACTGTCAGTCATTCGATTATACATTTATACCATGAGGCATAATCAAAATTGGGAAACAAGGGCTTGTGTAGGGGATGAATTTATGGATCTTTGTATGATTCTTGGAAATGAGTCAACATGCGGCATTCTCTCTTGTACTACCATCTGTTAGTGTCAAACTTAGTGAATTGTTTAGCATGTAAGTTGGTATATGAGCATAGTGTGATCACTTGAAGGATTATGGTTTTGAAGCACTTTTATTTTTTGTGTGCGTTGCTCTGTGAGATGAGGTTGTAGTAAAGATAGCAAATGGAAGAGATCCGGGTGTACAGCTAGCTTATGGACATGGCAGTGGAATTTTCAACTTGCTCTAAACCTGTTCTTGAGATGCTGAAGTATTTCGGGAACTTTGCATGAGAAGCTTGCTGTTTGCTAATTGGGATGGTTCAGTGTACATAATGACAACTCATAAATGTCGCTCATAGCCTGTAGTATCTGATATGTATACACCTTGAATTGAGTGAGCCGTTATTAGAACATACAGTAGTGCAGTGTTACTCCCTTACACGGGAGTGGGTCTCTCAGTCTCTGCCTCTCTGGTAGTGCCCAAAACAAAATATCTTGTCCTAAATCCTCGTAATCCCTAACAAAAAATGGTACACCGGCAATCCGGCAATTTGTAAAATTTCGATTTCTGTAGATCCAATACTGTTTTCTTTCTTGCCCGGCCTATCTCGCACCACCATAGATTAGGGGTGGACTCGGGTCCGGGCCGGGTCCGGGTCGGGCCTAGGCCCGTGCGGGCCGGCGGTTCAAGAATGGTGGACCCGGGACCGGCCCGGGTAGCCACCGGGTCCGGTCCGGGTCTGGCCCGGGCCCGACCTGGCCGGGCCGGTTCACCAATATTGAGACCCGAGCCCGGACCCGCCCTACCCCCCGGGCCTAGGCCCGACCCGGACCCGAGAACCGGGCCTGTCCCGGTCCCCCACAGTAGCGGGCCGGGCCGGGCCGGTCCACGGGCTGGGTGGCCCGACCCGAGTCCACCCCTACCATAGATGAAATCCTGACATACAAATATACAATGTTACAACTTGGCCGAGTAAATAATTCCACTCCATTCATGGTTTTGTGTCTACGATTTATTTTCTCAACTTGGCCAAATCACATATTACACTTCATGTCTTCATTCATGTTCTTGTAATTTTGTGCATCTTTTTATGACTAGGGATGGACCCGGTCCGGGTCCGGTTCCGGGTTGGGCCCGGGCGGGCTTTCTTTTTGCAAAATGTTGGGCCCGGAACTGGCCCGTGTTGATACCGGGTCCGGGCCTAACCCGGCCGGGCCGGGCTTGGGTCAAGTTAAATTTTTTTTGTTTCTAATTAACACCCGACCCCCCACCCCCAACCCACCCTAAACACCCAACCCTAACCTAGAAAAGCAAAAAAAAATGAAAAAACAAAAAAAAAAATGAACCGGGCCGGTTCACCAAAAGTTGGGCCTGAGTCCTGCCTGCTCGACCCGCCCAAACGGGCTAAAAGCCCGGAACCGGCCAACCGGTCCCGATCCGGTCCGGGCTCAAACAGTAACGGGCTTGCCCGGTTTAGTCCATCCCTATTTATGACTTTGACTGATGGCTAGGGTGACATAAGAAGACGAGTAGTCGAATACTACTGGGGAAAAAGTAATTGGAGTAGATGAAATGTTCCAAAGGAATTTGAAAACTGAAGATTCTAATGTTTTGTGATATTATATAATGATACTAATTGAGAATCAAAAGTGTAGTAATACCAATTTCACATTAGAATAATTTGACACCTATAGTTCGAATACGTATGGATAAGTAGTTTGAAGGAAAGATATTTGGAACATTGCCAAAAATAAGTGTGTTGACAGCAAAATGATCGCCCTTATTGACGTCACTGTACACATGTAGTGCAATCGATTTGGTATGCGGAAATGATTGCAGAATGGTACATAAAAAATGGACTGAGATCCTCTGTCGCACGGCAGAGTGCCTTGCGTGCAGGTGGCTGTCGGGTGGCCGTCAGATGGGAGAAGAGTGTCCAGGAGCCGTCGGATGGGCGTAGAGGATCAGACTTCGGGATTTGTGTGTTGAAATCTCGACCGTCCATGTTTTGATCGAACGGTTCCCGAGAGCCGGGCACCCTGCCTTGCTTTGAAGTATGGCAGAGGATCCGGATCCATAAAAAATCATATAGTTGGACACCTTTAAACACCTATGTAGTTTGTTTTAGTACACTAATTGTTATTGTGTCATTAGCATTAGATTATATAAAACTACGTGTTAATTGTTTTAAATATATTTAATTTGACATAGATTTATTGATGACATGTGATATTGTGATACAGAGGGCTGTTTGTGAGTCATGTGACACAAAATTAGACAATTAGTATAAAAAACTAAAACAATACAATCAAAACATCATACTCAAATGAATCCAATACTCATTAAACAATGTTACTAAAAAGTCCTACTAAGAATTACTACCTTCGTTCTTTTTTGATATTAATGATCAAACTTGTTCGTTGTAAAACGTGAAAAGTTGATTGTGACAATTAAAAAGGAAGTATTTAGTACTTGAATTAAAACAACAAGACTCATTATTCAAGCAATTTGAATAAAAGAGAATAAAAAAGACTAACGAATAAAAATGGAGAAGGACTTGGGCATCCTGAAGGTGATATCGCCAAGGCCGTTGTCGCCGGTGAAAAAGAAGATGGAGTGATCGGGAAGCATGCTAGGGGAGAAATTGTCGTCGTCGGTGAGGAAGAAGATGAGAAGTCAGCGTCGTCTAAGATATTTTCTTGGAGAAGCTAAGCTTGCTACAGAACTAAACTTAGGAAAAGATAGAAATAAGAAGAAAAAACGAGAAGGGAGAAGTCGGGGATGAGAGAAAAGTGACGAAGAAGAAGTCATCTAAGGGATCTGCTATGAAGAACTGAGAAGATTTTTCACGCAAAGGAATTTTGTGGAATGGTTGGAGAACTTTGAGCATTTCAAAATCTCATGAAGGTTTTGGGTTTTATGTATTTAATTAATACTCCCTCCGTCCCAATTTGATGGTCTCATTGCGGTTTACGATGCTTGATCGACGATAAAGCAAACAGATCCCTGTCTACACTCAAATTATTTTTTAGGAAAAAAAATTAGATATTCAGAAACTACATCACAAGCTTTACAAAGTCACAAAAACCAAAATCAAATTTGATAAAAATTTGATATATAAAGTAAAAGAGTAAGAGTGATTTGTGTTGACCAAGTGAATAGGAACCGAGACCATCAAATTGGGATGGAGATAGTATAGTTTTATTTGGTCATGCTGAGTAAGCAATACTGCAAGCCGCTAATTGAATTGGACAAGATGATTGAGAGGGTGCTGATAATGAAGTTTTATCCCCGGAGCAGTTTTGCAGAAGCAATATTAGGGTAATTGAACCCTTTAGAGATGGATGGTGATGGTACCATGGATTCCGACCATGGTCCAATTACACAATCCAGCCCATGACGGGATTAACCCCTCTACGGGGATTAGCCTAATTAACGGGATCAATGCTAGATAATCACTGGGCCTAACTAGAGACCAAGCCCGCGAGAGGAACCACAGCCAGGCCAGGCTGGAAAGCACGCCTCGAGCCTGAGCGGAGTTCTAGTGAGGCTGGGATATCCCTAGGGCTGACGTGGCAAGCTATCATTGGAACGGCAGCTGGCAGGAGTTAAACGGCTGGAACATGGGAATAAAGGAACAATCATTGCACAACGGCCAAGACGTTACAAGAGTCCTATTCGAACTAATGCATAAATAATAGCATTTATTGTATCAGTTTCCTTTTGTAACACTAGTTCCTTAGCCTATAAATAGGACTTGTAAACCTCCGAAAGGGGGATCGAAACATTGACCAATAAAACACTGCCTTACGCTACCAAATTATCATCTGCTCCCGTAGATTTAGCTCTTGTTGTTGGATTAAACTCCATCATTTGTTGCTCTCGTTGAGAGCTCGATCTACAATGAACCATGGTGGGATCCCATAACCACAACCGTGTGGGTAACAATCTGGGCGGTAATCGTCACGACCAAGTGGTGATCGAAGACGAAGGCTCTCGGTCACGGCGGAGTGATTTTCGAAGGCGTCACGACAACACGGCGGGACAAAAGGATCTGAGGAATCACCTCCAAGGTGTTGGAAGTTCTAGGCGGGCATCAACACGACCGCCGCAGTTTCAGACGCCTGGCACAGGGAATCGTATCCCCAATATTGATCCGGCTCAGGCCTTAGCCAGTTTGGCGACGTTCCAAAGGGAAATGGAGACTCTGACCACTGCTTTCCAAGGCATCATCCCCAATGAGGGTGCGAGGTCCCTTCACCTCGTCGGGCTCCATCCGTTCCCCAGCAGGAGGAAGGGGGCATGAGCACTCCAGGAGGGGCTCTCCGCCATCTCGATCTCAGCGTTCCCATCGTTCCAGGCAGACCCCGAGAACCTCAGTGATGGACCGAATTGGTGATCAAAGGGTCTCCGTGCATGACAGGATCTCACCCCGACCTGAGCCGAGTGTGGAAGCATCATCTGCGGCTGTTTCATCCCACCCCGAAGTGTGCGTGGGGGAGATCTCAGAAACGAGATCAACGCCAACCGGCAGGGCCGCAGGCATCGACGATCCCTACCCCAGCAGCAAGCAGGCCAGGGATATGACGATCTCAGGAGGAGGCTGGATGAGCTCCGAAGGGAGGTGGACGCAAGGATCAACCCTAACCATGAAGTAAGGATTCCCGAACCGTTCATTCGTCGGATCATGGACACCCCGCTACCCCAAGGATACAAGCCTTGCAATATAGAGAGGCCTACCGGGGAAAAATAGACCCACAACACCATGTTTCCAGATACGTGGCGTATATGGTGATGATGGGATATGAGGATGCCATCAAATGTAGGGGATTTTCGGTAACGCTCGACGGGCCAACCCGAGAGTGGTACGATTCCTTACCTAACGGGAGGATCCGGAATTTCATGGAGTTGGCCCATGCTTTTGTGACCCGGTTCGCCAGCTCTAAGGATTCCAAGAAGAATTTTTATCACCTATTGATGATCAAACAGGGACCCCAGGAGGGCTAGGCTGATTTCTTGATCCGGTGGAGGGACGAATCCGTAAAGATAGACGACCTGGATGACAAGTCCTCGGTAACGATACTCACCAATGCCCTGAGATCGGGCGAATTATATAAGGACTTTGTTCGAAACCCTCCGACCTCACATGAGGAGGCCCTACAGCGAATAAATGCGCAAGCCAGAGTAGAATAAGCCAAGAAGAAAAAGAGAGAAGAAGAGACCGGGAAACGCCAACCTGAGGGCAAAAAGAAGAAGTCCCTTGAAAAGGAAACCCTTGTTTCCGACAAAGGGAGTGGGATCAGGAAGAAGAAAAAAGGCTGGGGAAAAGGCAAATCAGGTGTTCCTGAGGGGGCCCTGGCCAACCATCCAAATTTCTCTTCTTCTGCGCATCAGGTGAGCACTGTCCTGGATTAGGTTGCGAAGCAGGGATTGATCGCCACCCCTGAGGGGTGCAATGTCATCCATAATCAGAACCCCAAAAAAAATACTGCAAAATCCACAAAACCGACTCTCATCAGACCGACAATTGCTACATTCTAAAGAAGTACGTAGAAAAACTCATGCGAGAGGGTCAACTGGAGTAGTT